TGGAGATTAAATCCCAACCCGTCCAAGACAGAAGTATGTGCTTTCCATCTCTATAACAGACAAGCGGATCGTGAGCTTCAGGTACAGCTTAACAACACGATAATAAAACACAACCTCTCTCCTAAGTACCTAGGAGTGACCTTGGATCGCTCTCTAACTTTTAAGAAGCATTTAGAAAATTTACAGAAGAAGGTGAGATCAAGGATAAATCTTTTACATAAATTAGCTGGGACAGGATGGGGGTCAGATGCACATACACTGAGAATTGCATCCCTAGCACTAGTGTATTCTACGGCTGAATACTGTTCAGGTGTTTGGCTTAATAGCAAACACGTCAAAAAAATCGATGTGCAATTAAATAGTGTCATGCGAGTTATTAGTGGAGCGTTAAAGTCAACTCCCTTAGGATGGCTCCCAGTCCTGTCAATTATCTCTCCCCCCGATATTAGACGAAAGCAAGCTCTGGTTAGATTAATTGTAAAACAGGATTCGCTAAACAATTCTATGTTATCACAAATGCTGTGCAACACCCCACAAATACGTCTGAAATCTAGAAAACCCCCTTGGATCACTGCTCAACACCTTATTCTGACCAACTTTAATTCAACCACGGAATGGCGTACTGCATGGAATAATCTTACACTCGAGAATGCTGACTTAGTCGTTGACCCTACACAACCTCTGGAGGGTTTCAAACTACCCCGTCAAGAGTGGGTATCTTTAAACCGTATCAGAACTGGTCATGGAACGTGTGGTCATTCTATGCACCAGTGGAAGCTTCGAGATAATCCTGCTTGTGATTGTGGAAATGCGGCTCAGACAATACAAGGCTGTCCTAAAAGAAAATTCGAAGGTAAAATGAGTGATTTATTTAAATTAACAAGTGAAGCTCTTGATTGGATACCTTGAACATCAGGCTGTAGAGAAAATATTGAACTACACAATAGATATTGTTATATTATTATCATTTTTATTTGGACTATTTTTTATATGGATTATTTTATTCTATTCTATTATTTTTGTTTTTTGTTTTTTATTCCATGTTACAATTTTTTATGGATATTATGTGTCAAAATATGCCATACGATAAATAAATAAATAAAATCTATTCGATTAGGTACAATGTTTCGATTATTTTAATCGAGTGAACCACTCGATTATGATAATATCTCGATTATGGAAATCATTCGATTATTCCCATCACTAGATAAAAGACAATACGAAAATTGCGTGCGGGTAATTCCGGGCGGCGGTATCGTCGGTCGTCGTATGTGCGAGTCGTGTGCGGGGTGAAATGGGGTCGGCGACGACGACTCGATCAATAAGCAACATCTGCCACCACTACAAACGCACGTCTACTGTGATTACGGTAACAACAATAACGCCGTGTTAGCCGGCGCAGTAAAGCATTGGCCGCTGCCAAACTAGTCTTCCACTCCCCTCCGGTCCGCGCGCGCACGGTCGCACAGTGTGGCAACGTCGTCGAAGGTGTGGTTCGGGCGGCCGTCTACGCTCCCCCGTTGCATTGCTGGCAGTTACTTTTGCTCGGCACCGCGAACGCTAACCATTGATTTTACGCTCTTGTCCGTACCGCCCGTATTTTTTCCACAGTTCACAGTTTTCAGTTATTTACGTGTGCAGACGTCGCGGCTTCCCGACGGTGATTTTTTATCCAGTTTGATTGCCGACATACCCAATCTGGTAAGTACTGTATACCTACTCGTCACGGACGTGTTTTTTTTTGTTTTTTTTTGTTTTTATCGTTACAATTGCGCGTTCGTGCGACCGACGTCCACATTTATATATCCGTATTTTTTGATACGTGCGTCGCTTGACATTTAGTCGGTGCAATTTTTTCTTGGTAAAGACCCGTCAATGAACGAAGTCCGGCCCCTCCCTCGGTCGGTGACCAAAAAGCGGTCCTGCTAAATCGGCGCGAGGTTGCTTGTGATGTACCTATACGATGTTTATATTCGTACGCGTTATCTATTCGATGCCTATCCGTAACGGGTAATAGTAATTAGGTATAGGTAATCTAATCAAATAGCCTGGAAAATAATATCTTTTCCGGCCGGTGCACGTGTTTTTTTTTTCTTCTATGTATTCGTGCGATGGGACGCGGCTATTTTATTTCCATGTCTTTCGATACGTACGTCACCGGATATTTTGCTGGAGTAAATTTTGTGTGTCCCGTTAACGTACCGGCTAGGTTCCTGCCTCGGGTCAATATAATCCACGAGTAGGTGCTCAAAAATGACGTACCTACCCAATAATATTTGTATTAAAAAATGTATAATAGAAATTATGTGGTATGTACGACCACAGGACCACAATTACACATAATAATGTATTTAATTACCTAATAATTGTGTTTAAGTAAAAAAAATATACAAAGACAAATTATATGGTACAACCATGGTTATATGTGGTTACTTAGTGGTGCTTGAATTTAACTTAAAGGTTGTCTGTATATCTAATGTTATGCAGTATTTTGTTAAATGAAACATTGCCAGTCGGAAAAATGACATACCTACCTAATAATGTTAGTATTGTAAATAAAAATAAAAATTATGTGGTAGATAGGCACGAACGCAGTCTCATAACTACCTAATATTTTTATTAAATAAAATTGAAAAAATTACAAATTAAATAGCTATTTAACCATGGTCATAATCACATTGGTATAAGGTCTTTGGGGGGGGGGGACCATGGTTGCGTATGTTTGTCTTGTCTTTTTTTACAAAATGATTGCATAGGATTTTTTGATGAAAATTTGAATAAAATAATTTTTTTTTTTTTATTTTTAAAAAAAGTAATACACAATCTGTAAATTCAATTTTTTACAATAAGCGTATGGGCGATAAGTTATTTAATTAGCGTGAATTGACCGATAAAAGAAGCCACCCAGCGGTGACACTTAATAACTTGACTAGTTATTAATTAATGGTTAATTCTGGTTGCCGAGGTCTCTGCGCCAACGGCGAGCTAGTCGTCTAGGGGGATTTCCGGGAATAGTATTTGAGTTGAGTTCTCTTATAAGAGGATTTGGATGGTTGACTAGGCGGGATCGGAATCGTTGGTAAAAGAGAGATGCAGTTTTGGATACGGTGTTGATGTGAAGATCAGAGTGTAATGTGTGATTAGAGACATAATAGGGTGCGCCCGTTATTAGGCGGAGCGAGGTAGACTGGAATGCTTGGATTTTTTTAATGTTTGATGGCTTGGCTGTTCCCCATACTTGTATACCGTAAGACCAGATAGGAGTTAATAACATTTTGTACAGGTTTAATTTATTTTTTAGATTAATTTTTAAATTTTTATTTAATAAAAAGTAGAGGTTTCTGCGTCTTTGGTTGAGTAATAGTCTCTTAATTTTTATATGGTGGGCCCAGGTGAGTCGCTTGTCGAGATACATACCCAAGTACCGGGCATTTGAAGTGATAGGAATTAAAGAGTTGTTTAAGGTTAATGGAGGAGAAATGCCTTTANCTCTTTTATCCCCCATTTTTCCATATTACTCGCTGTCCTTCCAGTTTCGGTTCTTAACCTATTTAGCGTCTTCCATATTGACCATGGTAGATGACTTCCGGGTGGTAATCTTTCCTTTGGATCCTTCCATAGCTGTGCGCTATGCCCTTTCATTCCCTCCTTCCATAAGTCTATTCTTGTCACTTCAGGTGTTTGTGATAGGCTAATTGTTGTCTTCAAAAAGTTTTTCCTCGATTTAAGTCGACTCCCCGTGAATTTACCTTCATATAAAGGGTGTCTTATGTCTGATTCTTGTTTTGTTTTCTCTACTCTTGCTGCCACCTCCCGCCTTATGTTAGGAGGTGCTATCCCGCATAATACTTGTACTTTTTGAACTGGGGTTGGTCTCAAGCACTCCGTAATTATTCTNNNTTGTTTTCTCTACTCTTGCTGCCACCTCCCGCCTTATGTTAGGAAGTGCTATCCCGCATAATACTTGTACTTTTTGAACTGGGGTTGGTCTCAAGCACCCCGTAATTATTCTATTAGTTAAATTTAGTGCCACATCTACCTTCTTGGCATGTGCTGAGTTTTCCATGCAGCACAAGCATATTCATCCGTCGAGTAGCATAATGATAAGGCTGTCGTTCTTAGGATATGAGGGTCTGCGCCCCATTGAGAGCCAACCAGTTTCTGAAGTAAACAGTTTCTTGTTCCTATTTTTTTTTTTGTGTTTTCACAAATGTCAGGGCTCGATCAAGTTTAATGCCTAAGTATTTTGGTTCGTCGCAGTGCTCTAATTGAGCAATATCTAATGATATTATTGACGATGAGTGATAAAATAACTATATATTATAGTCAAGTAAAGTGTTTTTAAAATTTTTAATTTTGTTTACAATAATAATATATAAAGTAAATAAATACATAAATAACAAATTTATCATATATAAAAATAAAATAAATAAATGAATTAATGCATCGCCTGTTGTATTATTAGTGTATTATACTACAGGTTTTGAATAAAAAATTCATCATCAGGTACATCACAGTCAAAATGTAAAATGTGACTGACATTTCTTTATGAGTATTAACCATTTTAAAATTTTTTGTTTTTACTTAATTATTTTATTAATAATAATACCTATGTTCTTTGCTTGAACATTTAAGATGTACGATATTTTTTATTTTTATATTCAATAGATTTTAAAAAATTTTGATGAACAATTATAAATGAAAACATTTGTGTAAGTCAAACTATTTAACCGGTATTTAAATAAATAAATGATAACATTTGTACAATATCAAACAATTTACGCATTAATCATATTAAGTTAGGGAATTAAATGTATCATACTGTAGTAGAAAAATATTTGTATAGTGATAATATTTATTGTTTATTTTCTTTAACTGTTGAACTGACTAATTTAGGTTTAGAAAATGTGGATGTTGTTATTGAACTAATGCTTAGTTATTTGGCTTTAATTAGGCAGCAAGAGATATCTGAAGATATTTTTAAACAAATTCAAACTTTGGTTGAAAATGAATTTAATTTGTCTGAAAATAAAAATGCTATATTGACTATGTAATGGAACTTTCCTTAAATATGATAATATGATGAATTTTGACGAGGAAGATTATGTGGTTCAGTATTGTCATATTTAAAATTGTGTGGCTTAATTCATATTGTCATAAAATTATGATCAATCTGATTTGTTTTCATGGAATGAAATTTTTGGGATAAATTATTTAAGTGACAATTTCAAAGAATTAAAATATAAATGATCAAAAGTAAAACCACATACATTTTTAAAACTATGAAAATCCATATGTTAAAACAGATTTTTCTGTTTTACCTCAAAGTACAAATATAAAAATATTCACAACAAATATTGGAAAATGAACATATTGATCTATGACACTAACAAGATAATTGTTTCAAACTTTCCAAAGGCTATATAGTATTAAATTGTATTACTCAAATGCCTTCAAATTCGTTGAAAAATAATGTACAATTGGATTTAGTTTTTAGATACTATAGTATTTTTATTAAATGAAAGATACATATTTCTGGTGTAATTTTAGTACCCCGATTTGTAAGAATGATTTTGTATATGCTGAAGGTCTGTTTGACATGAATTGATGTTACTGGAGAATATTGCAAGACGACTACCATAGTCTATGAATAATTTTCCAGAAGTTCTATGTTATTTCTACTGAGAACTTGTTCAATAGTTTTCAAAATTTGTATCATTTAGTTTATTTATTGAAATTACATTATTTTTGTTTTTACTATTTTTCCTTTTTCTCCTGGTATCTGCTTAAGTTTTATTAAAGAGTGTTTTCAATAATATCTATCATATGATCAATTTTATATACTGTAGGTGTAACATATTTATTTTATTTTTCAATCTTACCAACAACTTAAAATTACTACACATAGTCCCAAATCAGTCCAACCTAAATACAAACTCAATGCTCTAAAAACTATCACCAATGTTTATGGACTTACTTCTTCAACCAATAACACTTAATATAAATATATTATTTTATAACTGTAATCAAAATTAAATTAATAATAATTATATATTGTACTTTAACCTTTTAGTTAAAAAGCAATGGCTTTAAAATAATGCAGTAATATTTTACCAAAATAAAGGAACTCTAAAAAGAAATATTTTTAAATATTAACTTTATTAAAATATTATACGAGTATTAACTTCTGATAAATTTTTTGTTTTTTTGACGTTTAGCTTCGGGTAAAATACCTTCCAAGTATTCTTTGTTGTATTTATCTTTTTTATTAAACCACATTAATATAGCTGGTTGTGGATTGAAATGATTGACAGTAATCATATTAGTTCGAATATAAAGAGAATTTTTTATGGTTTCTGGTGTTAAAGAACTTCCTGAGGTTTTCATAATGTTGTAACAGGAAATTAACCATTATACATCTGCAGAATAAGGTTTGGCGGCAATATTCTGGCCTGTAATAATAAAAATATTAAAAATGTTAAGCTCAAATTATTAAATTGTACAAAATAAAATGAATAAAATACCAATGAAGTACTAAGTGACACAATTTTTAAAATATTTATTGAAATATGGCCTCTAAGTTCTTCATCTGTGCAAGCCTCTTAATACGATGCAATAAAATCAATGAATAGATAATCTGGGAAAATAAATCTGTGACAATTTTAATCTTCATCAGAAACAACAAATTTACTAAACCTGTCTTAAAGGTTTTAACTCTAATAACGCAGAAGTATATAAATGCTCATTAAGGGAAGTAAAAATGTGTTGAATCACATCATGACTAATAGTTTTTAAAAGAAGGACTATCAGATACATACAAATTATGATTTATTTTTTTCTGGTTTGCAACATATTAAATATGTAGTTGCAGACATAAAAATAACACCAATGAGCGATTCATCAGTAAACTTAAAATTTTAAAATTTTCACATTATAAATTTTTTTTTTTATATTTTTATTAGAAATAAACAATCTTTCTCTTAGGGGCACAATAGGTTTATGTGGTTAGAGTAAATATAAATTTAATTTAATTAATTAACAACTAAAATAATTAAAATAACTGGATAGACTTGTGAGAAGTCATTCACCAATGACACTCACTAATAAACTTTTAAACTTTTTTTTTTATTATTATTGTTTTTTTTTTTTATATATATATAAAATTATTTGAACAGAACTGAGACTCAGTCTACGGATTAGTTGATGGGAGGGGATGAGCAAGTAGGTCTATTATAAATAAAAACAATTTATTAGTAAATTTAATACAAAAATATTTTTTGTTTTTACTCTTTTTTTCCATAAATTCTTCTACAGTTTTGACACCACGTTAGACAATAAATATTGGTAGTTTTATTGCTTTAAATAGTATTTTTACGAGGTGATATCTTAATAATTTTTCATATTTTTCCATTTTTATTGGATAAATTATACAAAAATCATATTATTTGATGAAAAAAAAACAGTGGGTACATTTGTTCAATAGAAAAGGTATAAAGTAAAAAGAAATTTATTAAAATGATTAATACTTGTAAATAAAATATATAAACAAAACCTGAAACCGGGTAAGACATTATGACATACGAATATTTGATTCCCGACAATACCCATCGTTTTGAATACTTTTCAATTTATTGATTTTTATACTCAATTTGCGGAAAATCAAGGATTATTAACCATTCAATAATTTTGTTTTTACTTTATAATTTTATTATTGTTTTAAATTGACTTACCATATGTGTATTTTATCTGTTTTGTCAGTCGAGCTTAAAGATTCAAAATCTTTCTCATCACACGTCTGTAAAATAATTACATATTATAATCATATATTATCAATTACCGTTTTTAAAATTAACTTGCTATTTTTATTGGTAACATGACGCGGGTGGAGGGACACAAGGTCGATTTCTGAGTTAAATTGATAACGGACAATTTTCGCGTGGACGGTGGCGTCGTTAAACGGGGTGGAAAGGGGTCGGCGACGAACACTTTCGATCGGTGAGCGGCGTCGGCCGTCATCGCCACAAACGCCCGTTATTATTATTTTTGGCAACAGCAATAACACGTTTTAGCCGGCGCCGTAAAGCAGCGGTTCTCAACCTTTTTATAGTCGCGTACCACCTACACCACTTGAAAATTTCTACGTACCACCTGACCATTTTTTTGCTTATTAATAATGTATACGTTTATGTTACATGTATAGAATTTTATTTTATTAGGAATTACAAAATGAGATAATATAAAATAAATATGTATATATAATAAACTATAAAGTAATTAATGCACAAAAAGAAATTAAATTAAATCAAATTAAATATGTAAAATTATTATAATTATTATGGTTTACTTTTTACTTCAATGAGACGATTGGTGTTGTTTTGAACGAACGATGACATCAATATCGGGCTCCAAATTGGTAACTTTAAGTCTTAAATCACTTTCTACGTTTAATCTACTTCTATATTTATTTTTTATGTACAATAAGTCAGAAAATGTTTTTTCGCACAGATATGTTGATACAAAAGGGATTAAAAACTGTAAAGCTTGTGTGGACAATGCCGAGTATTCTTTTTTCACGTCATGCCATTCGACATCACAAAACAATTTGGACTTTTCTTCATCAATATCAGTCAGAATTAATAAAACTTCTGACCTTAGCTCGAATAGTCTGGTGAGGACTTTTCCTCGTGAAAGCCACCTTACCTCTGTGTGGAGAAGAAGAGAGTTATGAGTACTGCCCATTTCGTTACATAATACTGTGAATAATCTTGAATTGAGAGGTCTGGCTTTGATTAGATNCCCCCCCCCGTTGGCGCACGCGCGGTTTCATTCTTCGTCGCAATTGTGGATTTGTGTGACTGGCTTCGACGTTACGTTGTTTTCGGTACATCGTGCGAATCTGTAAGGAAATTGACGGAGAAACTAAACCAGAAATGTACTAATTTGTGAAATAATATGCCAAGTTGAGATGATCACCTAACTCAAAGTGTTAATAAAAGTACCACTAATTAGAGGTATCTTTGGAATACCGGTGGTCAACTCATTTATCTCCTGTCCCTTTCCTGTCTTCTTCATTGGCCATGCTCTGACTACTGTACCCAAGCGTGATTATAATGATAAAATATACAGAATATATACTGCGTTTCATGATAGAAGATACACGAGTCGCGCACTCGACTGCCGCCGTCAACAGCGCGGAGGCCAAATTTCCCCCACTTTTTACCGCTAGGCGGCTAGCCAAATCGATCATACACCCCGATAACATTCGGTGCAACTTGTATACAGCGTACTACAGTGTTTATCATACCATTACGTAAATATTATGAGTGATACATAATAAAATACAGGTATTTTTTTATTATAAATTAATAAACATATGGGCCTCGTCAGAAAAGTTGTTCACAAGAAAAGAAAAGGTTGTAATATTTCTTTTAACTTGTATCTAAATTTCTTATATTTTCTCATTTTTCCTCCGTCTTTTCACGGTTATTCTAATTCGTTGGAAAAATCGAATAATCACTTCTCTAAACTATCTTCCAAGTCAGATATCTTTTTGGGAAAATTGTTATTATAAATCCTATAAAATATCGATGTGTTAAAAAATGTGGGAATGAATACAATTTAAGTAACTTAATTTGTATTTTAGAATATACTAATAAAATTAATAATAGTAATACTATATTTATTACAGAAAATGTATGTTTAAAGAAGTCAAAATAAAATAATATTCTTTGTTCGATTTATTAAAATATACATCATTTTATTCTAGTTTGTACACAAAAATGCAAAAAGTTAGATAACAACTTTTGAATATATAGCTAATAAAAAAAACTTGATGAAAAGAAAATTATTTTATTTACTATTATTATTTAATAATACTTTAAAACCTCTTGAAACTTTTTTTTGAATTAAATTAAATTTGATTCTTGTTAAAAGGTTAAAAAGACGTCCTTTAATGGATAATGGAGACGGGTGCATCCAATGTTAAAGGTAATTCAATGTATTGATAAACAACGAAAACACGATTCTGAGTGTAGGTCAGTTGATATAGTCCGGCAGGCGAGAGAACGCTACTCATTGGTGCATCCAAATAAACGAGCTTCGCGGTTTCGTACCCACATTTCTCCCACTCATTACGCGGCGACCGGTGGCTAATTTCTCGGCCGCCGCAGCCGTGTGGTAACCCGTGTTTGTATACAGCGGCTCAAATAATACACAATGAAAATAATAACACCTGGCGACTGTCGCACTTATTATGTACCTATTTTGTACCTATACAACTGCAAATAATACGTATGTAATATAAATATTTTATTCATGTATTTATTTTTTAATTTCAACATAAATGTGTCACCGTACATATATATATACATTATACATATATAATAATTAGTAAAAAAAAAAAAATTGAACGTACAATATAAATAAAATAAATCAATCAGAGTCTGAATTCGAACTTGTATCACCTGTTCCTATCTGGAAGATATGATGTGCTTCAGGTTCTTCATCCATAATTTCATCGGTTAAAAAGTCAAGATTCCTCAATTTTTCTTCTTCCTTAATGACGTGCCCAACAAAATTTGACCACATTTCCGGCGATACATGTTCCACGTCTCTCTTCAATAATTCTAATACATCTTTCAATTTGAAAGTATTATTATGCGTCTGAACATGGTTTTTTACAGATGACCACGCGAGCTCGATAGGGTTAGCTCGCAGTGGTACGGAAGTAAACGCAAAATGATTTTGTTATTGTCTTTTACAAATTCGTCTATCATGTATTTCTCGTATAGTGATTTTAATTGTTTAACCTTGTCCAACAAATCTACTTTGACTATTGGATGTGTAACTACTTCACCTTTATTTTCCAGCCAATTTACAATGTCTTGCTTTTTACATGACATCACTGAAATTTGATCCTTTTTCACCGAATGATACGAGGTATTATCCATGACAATGACGGCATTTTCTTTCAGTAATGGTAGAGTTTTTTTAAACCCACATGTCAGGTGTAACTTTTTCGACTGCTTGTATTAATAATTTTCGTACGTCGTCTAATTTAAATGTTGAATTGTAAGTTTTAACATGATTTTTTACCACTGACTACGCCAACTCTATTCAGTTCAATTCGCAGTGGTATGGTGGTAAACGCAGGACAAGTTTGTTCTTTTGTCAATTCGTCTATGATGTATTTGTCATGTGCGGGTCTTATTTCATTAACTAGTTTTATCAAAAGAAATTTTACAATTGTTGTACCAAAAACAACATTTTTGGAAGTCAACCATTCAATTATATCGTTATTTTTCCAAGGCATAGTTGGTATAGGGTCTCTTTTTACTAAATGGTATGACGCATTGTCCATGACTATGAAATTGTTTTTTAACAATGGTAAAATTTCTTTGAAGCATTCCAAAAACGAATCTCGTCAATTTTCTGACGGATATTTAGACGAAATTTTTTTTATTAGGTGACACAACTACTCCAGATCGTTTATATTCAGATATGGTATTTTTAATTGAGCGTAATCCTATCCCGGTTTCAGTTTGAAAGCTCTTGCATTAAATATTTGTTTTTGATATCTGATTGATTTTGATTTTTTTTTTTATAAAGGTTAATAATAATGGTTTTTTGCCAGGTCCCAATTAACTTTAAAGCAAACAATATAGTATCTATACATAATGTAGGTTTACTTATATATATATATTATTTTTGACTAACAATAATAAATATTAATAGAATAACAAAATGTAAAGCATAAACTAATGTTATTAAAATAATGAAAATTGTTTTTTTTTGTAATGTAGGTACCTACTTACAATACTATAGAAATAATACAATACATAATAAAATGTAATCAAAATAGATTCTTACCTTTCCTTTATTATTTCTTTTCGCAGGTGATAAATTTGTTAATTCGATGGTACTCATTTTAAAATAATTAAATCTAACGAACTAAAATGAAAAAAAAATTTCAGTATTATACGAGCAGGTGGTATACAAACGCGATAAGCACTACAGACACAGTGTACAGTCGGACACGGCGACGACCTTGACGAAAAACGATGCGTTCTAGCGCTAATGTAGTATTTAGTGGTGGGGCTGCGCGAACTCTGACGAGTTTTGTTCGAGGCACGGGCTCCTCTCGTGGGCCGAGGTATAGTAAACAAATTTAGTAATAAATAAAATACCCAAGTGGTATACACAAATGTACATTTAAACGTTACCTATATATCTAAATCGGTAATTTATTTTTATTGGAAATTTTAATTTATAAGTAAATATATATTTAGGTATTAACTTCTTTTTTTTTTTTTATTTTATTGAAATAAATCTACAATCCATACATATTCTTTGTATAATGAGTAGGTTTGATAAATGACAAATAAGAACAGATAACATGAGTCTTGAGATTAGAGAAGATACCCATTAGTAACGCCCTATAAGTAACAGTAATGACAATGAAAAAAAAAAAAATGAGAAGAAAAATTTATTTAAGGTTTGAAGGTGTTACCTGGTAGCGGCCTCCAGCACTTATTAAGCTCGCTTACTAGAGTATGAGATTACTGCACCATTGTCTTTTAAGCCTATGGCGTGGATTATCAAGGAGTGTGTTCGATAATAATTTATAAATTAGAGGATTTGTGTTTTTGAATTTTGTTGTGAAGTCTGTTGTAGTAAAGTTTGGAGATTTGGTTAAGATTTAGGATTTTAAGATCTTTTTGGTGATTATTGTTGGTTAAGTACCAGATTGCGGATGTAACTAGGCGGAGGCATATTGACTGAAGGGCTTGGATTGTACGGGTGTTTGAGGGTTTAGCGGCACCCCATAATTGAACGCCATAGGTCCATAATAGCCTGAGTAAGGACTTCCGAATTAGTAATTTGGTATATATATTCATTTCAGATTTCATTAATGGTCTAAGGAGGTGGAGCCGGGTATTAAGGGCTTTTCGTTTTGATTTTAGGTGAGGATTCCAGGTAAGTTTACTGTCAAGGATGAGACCAAGATATTTAATTTCTGAGTAGGAAGGGATTGGGATGTTGTTCATCGTGATTAAGGGGCAAATTCCTTTTTTTTGGGTAAATGTAATGAAGGAGGACTTGGATACGTTAATTTTTATCTTCCATCTTTTTGTCCCGGGTCGATTATATTGAGGTGTCTTTGTACAATACTAGAAACAATGATTGGGTTTTCGTTGGAGGCCACAATTGTCGTATCATCCGCGTAGGAACCGAGTTCAGTAAAGGAAGTTTTAGGAATGTCGTGCGTAAAGATATTGTATAGGAAGGGAGTAATATCGCTGCTTTTGGGAACTCCAGCTAAGATGTTGAAATAGTTTGAGTGGCTCGAGTTCTGGCGTACGACGAAAGTATGATTTGTCAAGTTTGTAAAGTAGGCCATCAAACCCAGACCCTATCAAACGCTTGAGTGACATCTAAAAAGACGGTGCAGTAATGTTTTTTCTCTAGAGAAACTTGGATATAATGATTGGGTCTGAATCCAAATTGAGTGTCGGGGATAACTTTTGCCGTAATAGCTAGTGGTATGAGCCTCTTTAATAGGATTTTTTTGAATACTTTAGATAATGTTGGGAGTAAACTATAGGGCGATAAGAAGTTATTTTTTCAGGAGGTTTGTTGGGTTTTGGAATCATTATTATCTCTGAAAATTTCCAGGTTAAGGAGTAATAGGATAAACGCAACATTGCGTTGTAAATATAGGAAGGTAATATGATTACTATTTTGGGTAGGTTTTTGGCAATACGGTTTTTAATTCGATCAAACCCGGGGAGCTTTCCTCTTATGGAGTTTTTTACTAATGAATTCGATTTCTCCTGGACTTGTGTGCTTAGCTGGGAGTGAGACGGGTAATGCAGACTCTAAAAAATGTATGACAATTTGACTTTGAATGGGATTTAGGGTTATGTCACGTGGAGTGAAGGTTTGCGATAGATGTTGGCCGAATAGGTTTTTGCTTTTTCTGTGTCAGAGACCACCCATGAGTTATCTTTTTTACGGAGGGGAGATGAAGTTGAGAGAGTTTTTAGGATTTTCTTTCGTCGTTTTTTCGTCCAAAGGTAGGAGTTATGATGAGATGTTATGTTTTGGATATATTGTTGATAAGTGAGTTGTGTTGTTGGATTGTTTTCTTTAGTTTATTATTTAGTTGATTGAAAGTGTGTTTGTCGATGGGGCCTTTGCCATCGGGATCTTGCTTTTCGTTTTTCTCGGAGAAGAGATTTTATATGATTTGGGTGTATGTTATTGGGGTGAATTGTGCCTGGTGTTGTTGCTAAGTGAATACATTTCTGGATATCCGAAGTGAGTTTTTGGATAGTGCTATCAATATCTTCACTTGATTTTAAGGAAGGGTTGAAAAGTGTACGAGTTTCGATGAGTTTTTGGAAAGTAGGCCAGTCTATTTTCCTAAGATTTTGAGGATTTGTGGAGGAGTTTAAACAAGGAATTTCAAGATCGAGTATGACTGGTGTGTGGTCGGATGACAGGTCGTTTGTGTTGGAGATAATAGTAGTAGTGCAGTTACGTGGTACTGTTGCGATGATGATATCGAGGATATCAGGACGGTGGTTTTGATGTGTTGGCCAATAGGTGGGGTTAGAGGGTAGTAGTATTTTTATGTTGGAGTTATTTATTGAGTTACTAAGGATTCTGCCTCTTGGGTTGGTTGAGAGGCAACCCCAAGAAGAGTTTGGCATTAAGGTCTCCGGCGACAATGACATGCTTACCTAGAGATTCGAAGTAATTTTTGAAATTGTTGTTTGAGTTAATTTTAGGTCCTGGAGGGCAGTAGATGGAGGAAAAAGACAGATTAAAATGTTTGTTGACAGAAACTTGGATGCTTGTTGCTTGGAGATACGTTTCACTAATAGACGGTAGGAAGGGAGTGTGTTAAATTATTTTTAACTAGGATCACCGATCCAGCGTGAACATAGTCCGGGTGATTACTTTGATAAACTTTGTATCCAAGAATTTTAATAGATTTTGTCGGGTTTAGGTGGGATTCGGATATCATTGATATGTCTATGTTATGAATATTGAGGGCTGCCTGAAGTTCAAGTTTGTGGTGTGTAATGCCGTTTGCGTTCCATCTGAGTAGTCTAAGTTTAAAATTAGTTTCCATTGTTGGTACTTAATTTATTTATTAGTGAGTTAAGAAGGGTTATTAGAGGATTAAGAAGTGTTATGAGGGGAAAGAGTAGCGTTTTAAACTTGGATATGAAAGTTGTAAGTTGGCTTGTTAATAATTGATCGGGGGTGGGTTGTTTATGTGGCTTGATTTTAGTTTATTTGATTTATTACCTTTAACCGCTTGCGAGAATGATAAGTGCTAGGTGGTGTCGCTGGGTTCATTTACAGAACTTGCGGGAGCATTGTACGGATTTGATATTCCTGGAGGAAGTTGGCTGTTGGGTTAGACTTGAGGTGTATCGGAGTTTTCTGTTGTTAGTCTTGAGATGGTGATCGGTTGTTGTTTTTTACGGAAACGTTGGAGGTCTTTGTAGATAGTGCATCCTCTGTAATTGTACTGAGTACGGTTCGACATCGTACTCATTAATTTTAAGACGTGATAAGCGAAGGGTGATAGTATACGTGCACGACGGTCGACAGACGTGTGCTACGGACGACTTGCCGTGCGGAACTGAGGTAATAACTTATGTATATTAATATACATATACAATATATTATGCTATATTCGAGGTACAAATATTTACAAATTTTTATATTTTTACATTTTAAGTTAAGATTTGGAATTTTGTAGGTATAAATATATACTTGAAAGTATACATGGTAAAATAACTACTTACCTAATATTTCTCTATTTTATTTTTAGTAATGGACCGGCTTTATGATAACGAAAAGGATTTCATTATCTTTATGAAAATGCCGATGGGTCAAATTATCAGCGTGACTGCGAAGAAAACTTGTACTATTAAGATGTTGAAAGAAAAAATTGGAATCGAACATGGATTGTCGGTTCGTGCAATGAGTTTGTACAATAGTAGGAGTTTAATGGATGACTACCATAAATTAGCTGACTACCCGATTCCGTCACTATCCCACATTGATTTCATCCCCTACGCAGAGCCCCTAAATGCCATTGCTGGCTAGGTGAGGTTGGGAAATTTCCATTTTTATATTTAAATAGAGCATCCATTATTAATCAATTTAACTAAAATAACCAAAAAATTAAGAATTCAATTTTATTACATATATATATATATAGAATGCAGAATGTATATATTCTGCCCCCCCCCTACCAGCACGCTTATGTTTACATCAGGTATATAATAGTTTATATTCAATATTTTGAATTAGTTTTTTTATCACTGTATATTAATTAGTATCATTATATATACCTACTTATTTATATTTTAGTTTTTAGATATTATAACACATTATATTCACTTACATTTAAATAATGGTTTTGATTTTTTTTTCCTCTTTAAACTGTATCCAAAAATCTTATTTTACTCCGATATGTAAGTGCGACACCATTTCTGTAAGAAAATAATTTCTAGATAATACTTTCAAGAGGTTATTTTTGATTTTACAAGTGATATTTTTATAGGTATCTGGGAAAACCCGAGGTAAAACGTAAGAAAAACGAGTAATTTACAATATTAATGATTTTTATTATTTTCAATTTTGTTTTTGTTGTAATTCAGTTAAAAATATTTGTGGAAACTTGAAATTTAGTCAGAATACTTAAATTTGCTTTTTCTAAAATTGTCAACTAATATAAGCCATACTGAGTTATTTTTAGACATTTTAATTTTGCAAGTTTTGCACGTTATTTTTATACGCTAGGTACTCTGTGGTAAAATTAGTAGATTTGAACAGAAATGCTTGAACATTTTACAGGAAATTCATTTTGAGTCTTACTTTGTTAAAACAAAAAAAAATTAATAATGTAGCATTTAATGTAGTATTTTATTTATAAAGGGATTTTAATATCAAAAATCGTTTTAAAAATTTTGTTTTAAAAATCTAATTTTTTAATTTTTTGTTTTGAACATATGTATATTTGGCGATTTAAGAACGATGGTGAAGTCAGAATTGAACGGACTAACTTATTTTCGAAATTATAGCTTTTTAAAGTTCTGATATTATGCTGACATTATATAATGTTATGTTATAACTCTATATTGTCAATTGCTGTCCAAAAAAGACCTCTTTGCCTCGTCCGGGTTATCTGGGAGCAATGTTTGGTCCTGGGGAGGGTGGGGCCACTTAGCCGTTTGTTGATGTTATTGCTGTCGGGTACGTCGCATACAATACGCGTCACATATGACCGCGATGATGAGTCCCCAGGATGTATAGGATTGGGATTTGCAACCAGTTCGGCTTGCGTAATCGCATCCGGTGGGGACGGAAGCAATCGGCGCTGTAGTGCTGCCGACCTGTGGTAACGGGTTGGCAATCCATACCGCAAGCCCCGCCAGTAAGGTAAGATCTTTGCATATTTCTAGACTGATAGCCTCCCTGTCGGATCTAATAAAATGGTTCTCCGCCATCGCTGTCGATGGTAATAGCGATGTGGTTCGAACTGTGCATGGGAAGTTTTGACAGCCGGCCACTCCGCTCTTCGTCTTTAAGTGACTCTTAACCATTTTTGAACCGTTTAAACCAATCATAAATGGCTCTTTTTATAATGCTTCATCACCATAAACTGTTTTCAAACATTCAAGCGTTTCTGCTGCAATTTTTCCAAGTTTAAAACAAAATTTATAATGTTGGCGCATTGTTCAAATTGTGACATTTTGAAAAAATGCGTAAAACTCAGTTTCGTTTGGACACGATTACGGCTCACTAATGTAATTTTAACGAATAAACCTACAGATAATAATAATGTCTACTTTTAATTCCAATAGTTAGATATTTAATAGAAAAATAGTTTTTTTCTATAAATAAATTCCGGAAACTTTTTGATCCCCTACGTACATAAAGAGCAGACATTATCGTCACTTAAACATAGTGATTATAATCAAACCGCACCAGAGGATTATATTAATAAAGAAGAAAAATTAGTATAGAACAAGGAGTGTTAACTCGGAAAAATTCCAGCATATTAAACTAGAAAATTCGCCCGATTTCGATAAAACGTATGGTCCGAAAAAAATTTACAATCTAATCATTTTAGATGAAAATGTGTAATGTTATCGCATAACATAATATTATACGTGTATAATTATTTATCATTTATATCATTACAAAAATGTAAATAATTTAATAAATATAACTGATCTTTTGCTATTCGAGATGGATACAAGCAAAATAATTTAAATATGAGTCAAATAAAATTAAGCAATAGGTACACAACATCAATCGGCTTTTAGATCACACCGCTGTGTCGTTCATTCTCTCGCACTAGATACCATTATAATTATTTGTATATGTTACCGGCAATATGGATAATTCGGTGTTTTGCGAAATGCCTAGGCATTATAATATATATTATATAAAATGCCAAAAATCACTCGGAAATATACACAATACGAGCTTTGCCTTAAAGTTAAAAACTAGAAATTTTTCGATGGCCGTAAGCAATGCTTATTTTGCTTGTAGGTAAATCCGGCCCTGGGTGTGGCATTACTGTTACTGGATACGATTAATATGAAGTCAAATTTTTATAACGAACTACATAAAAACCGCACAAATTTGGCTAATAATACTAGTTTTTTATTTGATGAAAAATATAATGAGTTGATAGAAATTATTTCAGAACTTAAAGCTGGACGTAAGAAAAAACAGCCCAAAGACTTCCGTTTAATCAAAAGGTAAGAAATTCATATTAGAAAAAACTTTTAAATTATATTATTATTAGTCCCAATCTAAATTATATGCTATATATTATATATTCTTGGATTCCCGTTTTAATCGTGGTTTACCCATCAGGGATTAGGGATTGCTGGCACCGGGCGCCTTAACAATTTTACAATACACATAAAATTATAAAAAATGTATTATTATTTTTATAAAATACAACCAATTATTTTTTTATTTAGATTTATTTGAATTTATTTATTTCTGTTGTCGTAGGTATGATGTGCTGGTTGTACAAGGAAATATGAAACTTATATTTTCAGTAAAAGATGACAATGTTGTGCTGTATTATGTGCCAACCAGTGAGCTGTTTGATATATTGCAAACCACACATATATCAGGACATGGTGGGCATGATCGAATGATCAAAGAACTTCGTAATAAATATAAAAATATACCACGTAATGATATAGAGACATTTTTGCATTTTTGTGAACCATGTCAACAAAAACAAAAAGGCTCGAAAAAAGGAGTGGTAGTTAAACCAATAATATCTTCAGACTTTAATTCCCGATGCCAAGTTGATTTGATAGATTTCCAGTCTCATCCTGATGGGAAATTTAAATTCATTATGGTGTACCAGGATCACCTCACTAAATTTTTTGTTTTCAAACCCCTCGAATTTAATCGGGCTGAAGAGGTAGTCTATAATATTATAGATATTTTCACGTTGCTTGGAGCGCCTACTATTTTGCAATCTGATAATGGACGAGAATTTTCAAACCAAATAGTGTCTAACTTAAGAAACATGTGGCCTGAATTAAAAATAGTACATGGCAAACCGAGGCACAGTCAATCTCAAGGCACTATAGAACGTGCAAATCAGGATATTGAAAATATGTTGACAACGTGGATGCAAGATGAAAAAAACCGACACTGGAGCCAAGGACTTCGATTCATCCAGCTTATGAAAAACCGAGCTTATCATTCTGGTATTAAAATGTCTCCATATGAAGCTTTATTTGACTGCAAAATTAAAATTGGTCTAAACACTTCAAATTTACCACACGATGTAATAAGTACGATCGAAAATGAAGAACAGTTAGCTGAATTAATCACAGAATAGTCACAAAATATCGAAAATGAAGCTTCATACACAGATCAACTATTTGTTACAACTATCCGAGCAACTATCAAATTAAATAACGAAAACGCCAATGTCATGCGAACTAGAGCCAAGGAAAATCTTGAAAATCAAGCGAAAAACATAATGGCGTGTTCGGATAAGAAGCTATTACCGGTGGCAGTACATTCAACTGTACATGTTCCAGTTCCTGAGATAGATAAAGGACGTTTAGATGCACAAAGTATACTGGCAATTGTTTTAGAGGTAATAAATAAGTTTAAAAATTATGTGTTTAATATTAATAAATATAAGATATTTTATTTTTTTTAGGTGACAAGTGATGGTTTTTATTGATTAGGAACTCGGGATGGAGTTCTCAAGTAGTTATACGCCAGAAGTCAGTTTACAGTATGTCAGAAAAAACTACTACAAATTGACGATGTTCCAATAGACACAGGAGTGGCATTATGAACAGTCGCAAAGGAACAGTACACAAGAACTAACCAAGGATTTTTAAAATGTGTTTGTAAGACCAAGTGTCAAAATAAAAAGTGCATTTGCCTTAAAAATATTGTTAAGTGCACTTCAAAATGCCATTTTTCTACAACATGTTGTAATAAATAGCTATTTATAGTTAAGGTAAAATGTATATTAATAATAATAAGTAATAAGTATATAAGTAATATTATTTATATTACTTAATATAATAATATAATGTAATAATAATAATATCATTATTAATAATAATATCATTATTAATAATAATACCTATGTATATAAATTTAATAATAGATTAAAATTAATATAATGTTTTAACAGATAATGAGAAATTGTTACTCTGCCTAAAAAAAAATTGGCATTTTACATAAGACCTAGGTATTTTATAAAATTCCTAGGTCAAATGTAAAATAATATTAAAAAATTATATGTTATATTTATATTGCCTAAAATGGGTTGGCATTATGCATAATGCCTAGGTAGTTTGCAAAATACCTGAATTGTCTATATTGCTGGTGACATTTACAAATTTCAAATCAATATATAACACTATTTTTTTATGGTTTTTTATGGTCATATTTTATCTCTGTGCACACAGGTGCAAAGTGTTAATTAATTAAATTGTAATTGCCGTCCAACGACTCCAGGATCACGTGAGCATATCTATAAGTATACCCTAGCGTTCCAACACCGTGGGCAGGTAAAATAATTATATCTTTATTTATTTATTGATCTCGTCACCATTTTCGGATTCACGCCTCTGAATCCCCTTCAAACATCGGAAGGAAGGTAGTAATTTAATTAGTAAGCTGAACTTTTATTATGTTTAAAAATAAATCATTCTTTGTAGTACCAAAAACCAGATCAATTACTTTATATTACATAGGTACATTTTTATGTTTATTTATTTTATTTTACATATGATATTATCGGATTATAAAGATAAAATAAAAATAAGGTACAAATATATTAGAATGATCAAGATTAAAAACAAGATAGACTATGAGATTATATAACAAATAAACTAATACTATGACTCTATCGTTAAAGGTTTACATGCAACATTGGTAACTTTTAAAGTGTTAGCTTACAGTCTTAACTTCAGGTTCTCCATCCATTTCACTGCATCCTCCTCTGCTTTATGCAGTTTCTCCAGTCCTTCAAAATATGTTTGTGGGCAGTTATCAACGATATGGCGTATCGTTTGATACATTCCGCATTCACAGAGGGGGAATTCTACCTTTCCCCATTTGTGCAGTAGGTAGTTGCATTTCCCTTGTTCTGTTCTTGCTCTGTTTAGTGTTGTCCATAACGCCCTCGGGAGATCAAAACCTGGGACTTTCAGTTCTGGGTTGTTTATCAGTTCCGTACTTCAGAATTTTTCCATCGTTTCTTCCAGATTTCCACCATTGTATCTTTTGTTGGTTCCAAGTCCCATATCGGGTGTCTCTATTTCAATCTTTTAGGAGGGTGTACAGTGAAGTCGTCATGTAGAGGGATCTCAGGATGTTTTATGATTTTTTGGATTAATCTTTCTGTGTGTTGCAATCTACGTAAGTCTGGTGGAGGTATATTAGCAAGGGTTGGTAACCATTGCACTTGGGTGGATCTAACTGTACCAGTGATAATTCGCATGGTACAGTTAAGTTCCGTGTCAATTTTTTGGCAATGTGCGCTTCTTGCCCAGACAGGGGCGCAATATTCGGCCACACTGTATACTAGTGCTATTGCCGATATTCGTAATACCTTAGTACTACTGCCCCAACTCACGCCTGCAAGTTTGGAGATAATGTTGTTTCTTGACTTGATCTTGTTTTTTACATCCTCCAGATGTTTTTTAAAAGTCAGAGACCTGTCGATTTTCACTCCCAGATATTTTAGGCATTCATTGGCGATGTGGTTGTCTCCGACCTTTAATTGTAGTTCCCTTTGTGTTTCTCGATTGTTGAGGTGTAAAGCAATGGCCACCGTTTTGTTGGGATTGAGAGTAAGATGTCATTTGGTGAAATAATGTTGAAGGTTGATAAGGTCTTGATTTAATATATCTTCCACCTTGTTGAGATCCTTTGTTTGGGCTACTAGCGCGATGTCGTCAGCATAAATTAATTTTCTTGAGATGGTATCAACTATATCGGATGTGTATACGTTGAACAGAATCGGTGATAGTACAGATCCCTGGGGGAGGCCATTTTGTAGGTATTTGTAACTACTGGCAACGCCATTTAGAAATACATTATATTTCCTGTTAGACAGCAAGGTTTCTATTAAACATAGCGTGCTTTTGCATCTTATAATTTTTGCCAGCTTTATCATTAGGCCCCTTTTCCATACTGTATCATAAGCAGAGGATAAGTCCAGGAATAATGTATATAATATAGGTATACAGTGGCGGCTCGTGGGGTTCATTGCAGGTGGGGCGAAAAAATTTCCCTCATTTTGTACTATCACAACTTTGATCTTACCACCAATTTCTGTTGATTTTTTAAATAAAATATAATTCATTTTATGTAGGTACTAGGTAGGTATATCAAAACCTTTTAATATACGTTTTGAACAACAAATAATTATAAAAAAAAAAATATTGTTTAAAAATAAATAATAAATACAGTTAATTACTAATATTTTTAAATTCTAAATCAATTCTTCTGTCTTTTTTCTTCATAAATACTGTTATGACTTCTTCATTGAAATTTGGTATTTGATTCACCATTTTCTGTTCAATGGATAACATCGTTAATGCAGTTAATCGTTCTTCTGCCGTAGTATTTCGAAGAAATGTTTTTATCCTCTTTAATGTCGAAAACGATCTTTCCGCTTCTGCTGTTGTCATAGGTATTGTTGCTATAATACGTATAAGTTTAAATGTTTCTGAAAATATTTGTTCCAAGTTGTTATCAATAATAAATTGTAGTAAATTAACAGCACCTGTTATGCTACGAAAATCTGTTCGTTTATATATAAGTTCCAATTCAGTTTGTAGCTTACTTTTGTTTAAAAAAGGGTAAGCTTTAATTGTATCGTCAACATATTTTTGCGGAAAATTTTTTTCATATAAAGAAAATTCAGAGGACATAAATAATTGAGACGCGTTTAAATGAGCTTTATATTNATTTTATCGTTCAAATGAGCCAAATCATTTATTCCGTTTTGTGATCAATTTTTATCACCAGAAGTACGACAAAAAAGTATACAAGGAAAACAAAACAAACGGTTCGTTTTAGAACAACCACATAACCAATCATGTTTTGAATAAACGTCTTTATTAAAACTTCTTTTAAATTCTCTAGACTTTATTTTTTTAATTTGTATTATATTTAAATTTTGCATTGGCCCACCTTCGTTTTTTATTTCAACCTTTTCCTCAAGAGGTAAATTTGAAAAGTTGATACTCAGTAAATACTCGACCGTAACATAATATCTATCCATGATGAATAATAGAAAAAATATTTAATAAATTAGGTATTGTAAATTTGTAAATATAAAATTATACAAACAAAACGACAGTAAACACGAACAGAGAACGAACAAAAAATGACAGTTTATTATCATACTATCAAAATATAAAGTCTGTGCCACGAAAGACGGTCTACGATAGCAATATGAAGTCGATAAGACCGACAAAATCCCGTGAATCGTAATAAAAATAGAATCCGCCCAACGCCCGTATAATATAGTATCGTACGTATTGTACGCATGAGCACCCGTATTTATTTTGATTACATTTTTTTTTCTCTATAATATTTTTAAATAATATGCCAACTATATTATTATGATGGAAACACCAACTCAATTTTAATTTAATATAATTTTCCTTCTTTCTTTCAATTTTGTAGGAAGGGCACGTGCCCGTGTGCCCCATAGTACGAGCCGCCACTGCAGGTATACAAATTTTTTAATTTTTCAAAAACTTTATACTTATTTTTTATTGACAAAAGTGGTACTGAAACCTCCAGCAGAGTGTCGGGCATAACAGTAAAAAATCGGTTCGGTAGTTTTCAGTAGTTAGCGCGGTCGTAGAAAACCCCTATAGATTAGTTGTCTAAATTATAGGCTTCACCAATAACATGTCAAAATAATTATTAAATTCGGCATTTTATCTGCATTGTGACTCGTTATAATGCCGTTAATTATTGTGGAACCAAACTCGGAATTGCCGATAATTGCGTTTATTTAATAATGGAAAAACGTCCACAACAACATTTGACATCCACTTCAGGGAACCCATCAATGCGATAATCTTTATTACCTACCATTGAAAATATTAGTAATACAATTGATAATGATAAACGTGTAGGTAGATATTATGTAGCCCATATTATGATTATTAAAGTTATTTTTCATATTATTTTCGTCTACAGCAAATTCATATTAAAATAGTAAATTATAAGTATATTAACCCGTCACTGGTCGCGTAATTTTTTTTTTATTTTTGGTGGTAAAAATTTTCCATAATATGAAATATTACTTTTAGTTGGTACTTTATATAACTTTTTTTTTTTTTTTTTCAATCAGCAATACTCCAGTACACCCAGAACCACCGTTAGGAATTGCTTTGGGTGCACTGGCCGCTATCGTTTATTAACGAAATTTTACAAATACGCGACTATGCCGCAAAACAAAAGGCCTGTTTACCCCTAAGCGGGGCAGGCTAACAACAAGTGACAAGAAACAATCAATAGCACATATAAACAACTTAACTTTAACATATGACTTAACCTATCGTTCTGGAGACGGGCGACGCTGCGCCGGTCATTCCCTCTGCCGCCTTCGCTCGTCTTCCTCTCTCGCCGCCATGATGTGGTTAGCGAACGCTTTGACCGCCTCCCACGCCCTCCTGGATGCCAGCATAGCGCCCACCAACGTCTCCGGAACCAAGTCGGCACCAATGTCGATCTCCAGCCTCCTCCGGAACAATACTTATAATTAATATACATAAATAATTATACAATTTAAATTGCATATGGGTCTTTAGTTTTATAAATAAAAATTAGAAAATAATAAAAACGGTTAGGTAATACAATACTATTATAATGTAAAACAATCTTGGCAAATTTCTATCAAGTGATCTCTACATATAGGTTTTATGCAATTGGTGCACACTTTAGTGGTTTTTTTGTCTTTCGCTCTTTCACAAAAAGCACATCGGTTCGAACTTCTCAACTTTTGAGGGAGCACTTCTCTTTCAACCTATAATATAAATAAATATAAATAAAAAAAATTAAAAAAATGTTTTACTACCGTAACATAATTTTGAAGTCTTGTTTTTAGTGGTCTGGACAGACTGCTAATTGTCGTTCTGTACTTTAGTTGATCCTCCATAAGTTGCCTACCCAATGATTTCAAAAATTCTAAACGTGTTTTTCTTTACTTGCGTATTTTCTTGGTACACAATCATTGAATTTAGTCCTCCGAAATTGAGTAGAGAATAAAATACTGTAAGAGGCCAACAAGCACTATGTCTTGCCGCACTGTAGTTTTCAGTCATCCAATCTATAGTATCTACACCACTTTTGGTCGAATTGTAAAATGTTCTCATTTCTGGCTTTAATTTTTCTCCAGTATTCATATCAATGGCCTTATCATTGTGCATTGCCGAAGCTATAAAAACTATTTTATTTGATTTAGCTTTATACGATACGATTGATTTATTTTTTGAAAAACCAAAATATGACGAATATAAGTCACGACCTTTTAAAATGAGAAATTCGGGAGGGATTTCTCTTTTATTTTTTCGAACTGTGCCTACCATAGTTGTTTTATTTTGGAGTAAATAGTCTGCTAATGGAAAACTAGTAAACCAATTGTCAAATGTAATATTTCTACCAGTATTCAAAATTGGGTTTGCTAATCGTTTTACAACGCAAGATGCAGCATTATCGATTAAAAATGGACCATCTGGTTGTTAACCAGTATAAAGTTCGATATTGAGTGTGTAATAATTATTACTATCTACTAAAGCAAACATTTTTAGTCCATATTTTGCGGGCTTATTTGGCATATATACTCTAAAAGAACAATGACCTCTGAATGATTGTAATTTTTCTTCAATCGTGCAGTATTCGGAAACAATATATGTATTTTTACAATTATTTACAAATAAATCAAATATATGTCGAATATGAGTCATATTATCAATTTTTTTTCTTATGTCTCTTCCTCGGATATCATTAAATCGTATACAACAAAGTAAAAAACGGAATCTATGCTCCGACATAACACATGCTAAAATATCTACTCCACACCCATCTATTTTCCAAAGATTCTCAGTGGATCTGTGATTACATTTTATTGCTCCTAAAATAAAATAATAAAAGATAAACAATTTTTAAATTTTTTTGAAAAAAATTAACTTACCAATTGTATATAATATGCCCAAAAGTGCTTTGATTTCGCGAATACATGTTTCCGAAGCATCTCTTTCTCTATTGTAATTAGGTCGAACTTTTTCAATATATATATTCGTCATTTTTACTATATGCTCCAACATATCATTTGAAAAAAAATGTCCAACACTCCGAAATTGTTTTTGCACTTTTAGCTATAAGTTTAACTCCTGATTTTTCTGTAACTTTATTAGAATTCGCGATTCTTACACGAAAATTTGGTTTTCTATTCCATTTTTTCCCGTCTTTTCCAATAAAAAATTTGCGTCTCATAGATATAGGTAAATCATCGTCAGATTCATGGTACGAATTTTCAGAATCTGATTCATTAGAAATATTTCCGATAGAACTTGCACTGGAAATCGACTGTTCTGTATCCGTATTTTGGTCATGAGGTTCATATGTTGGTGTATTATTATCATTATCATCACTTGAGAAGCTTCCTAATAAATCATCTTCTTCTGTGCTTTCTAATACACTCAATCCGCCGTCTCTCAATTTCGTCCATGTTTTTTATAATAATAATCAAGAGAAAATGAAATTGAAAAAAAATGTAAAATAATAAATTAATCTTCAGTCGCGCGGGGTAAATATTGTCCAAACGAATAACTTGTTCCCGACTCGCATGCACCGAACAAACTAAAATAGTTTTTGATGAAGTAAATGTCANAATTACAAAACTATATTACAGATAATTACGGAAAAACACGTATTTATAAATAAACTTGGAGATTATTTACCCCGCGCGACCGGCGACGGGTTAAAAACCTCATTCAATAATTTTGCATTATTCTTTGGACGAAAATCAACTTAATTTAGATACTTTTGATTAAAAAAAAAGTAACGAGTTAATTAACTTAATTTTAACTTTTAACTCATTAATGCCCAGCCTTGTAAAATAATATACAATTATTTCCTTCTTTCAAACATCAACATGTTCATTTGCTATGTATAATTGTTTAAAAAAAGTGCTGATTAATTTAAACTTTTGTTTTTGAAATTGTAAAATTTAAAATTTTGAATATTTTTCGGTTAAAAATAAAAATCACACTCACGTATTTCTCCTATTTCGATAATAATAATATTCGACCCTCTCAGAATCTAAAATACAAAATTAAATCGTTAAAAATTATGATATACATTACTGTATCACAGAAAATTCACGGTTTTTAGGAATTTGGAACTACACACCTACATTTGTTAGTATAATTATAATACAAGTATAGTATAGGTATCAAGATTCTAGGTAGTACAAGCCAAATGTATGAAACTTCAATTGACGTGCGCGGATTATTAATTTGCGATTCGACGGTCAATGTTTTTGACCGTTGAAACCGGAACGAACGGTTTTCAAAAGTTGTTTATAAACTGCGTACCGAAGAAATTTTGTATTTTTTCCGGCCAGTTATAAGTAACGCATTAGTATGTGTATATATTATAGGCTAGTGGTGCGCGACCTATGAGGTAGGTTCTAATAAAACCCGGCGGCGGCGGCATATGAGGTAATAAAAAAATGTACAACGAAACGATAAATTCAACAACTGCATAAAAAAAAAAAAAAAACAATGGGGAAACCGAAAGCAAATAGTAAAATATACACTTTTTGAATTTGTCAAATTGTGCGTAACGGCGCGCGAGGGTACGGTCGTAAAATAAATATATCATAATATTTATAATAAAACGCGCAAACCAATGAGCAATACTCACGATTCCGATTCTTCGAGTTTGTCGTAACAATAGACACCAACTGTTTCCTACCAAAATGATAGACATGAATGTCGTACCTATTTAGTATTTATTTTCATCAATAGTCATTTTAAATAAGTTCCAGATGATCGATCTGAACTGTTAACTGTATTCATCAGGATTTATTTATTGTGTATATTAGAAAAACAACACGGCTTGTAAATTGACGTATACATAAAAATTAAAATTATTTTGTTATAATATGTTATAAATATTATAAAACCGTATATACCGTATAAACCTAACCTAACCGTATATTTTAAAAATTACTACATTCAAACCTCTTAATAACAGAATCGTTCGGTACCAAATGATTTTTCCGTTAAAAAGGAGTTTCCGTAATAAGGAGACTAAAATACACGGGATACGGGTTTGCAGCACTGTTGTCGTTTTCCGTTTTAAGGAAATGTCCTCCTTGTAGACAGTCCATTTAAAGAAGGTTTTACCGTAATTGAACACATAAAAAGACGTCAATATTATAGATAATTTAATGTATACCTGTAAGCAAAGATAAACCAGTGTTTACGAAAAAAACGATTTTGAGAGGAGTTCATTTAATAGTAATACTTTGTCAACAATATGTAAATGCCATATTATAGTAAAATAATTAAAAACGCTTTATATGTTTTCTTTATTAGTATTTGTTTTAAATTGTACCGTTTTCCTACATTTTTCCTGGTTTTTCACATTTGCTGGGAAAAGTCTTGAGAAAATCGATAACTTACCTCTTTAAAGAACTTCCCCAGTCGGATTTCCTTTTAGGAACATTGTCATTATAAATCGGAGCAAATTGTTGTTAAAAAATTGTCCACAGAAAAAAAATCGTAATATTACACAAATTTATTTCGTACATTTTTCCGTTTTTTTTTTTGGTTTTTTTGTATTTGATGAGGAAACTTGAGAAAATCAAAAAATGTGTTGTAAATAAAACGCGCAATACCCACTGAAAAAAATTAAAAAGTTAAAAGATTTATAAATTATAAGTATTTACAAAAATAATAAATAGCTACCGATAAGCGAGCTCGTCCCAAATTCCCAACAACTGTGACCCACCCACGGTACGAAGTGTATACCTGTCTTAACCTTTTAGATTTGGAGTATAGTGAGGATCTTTTATTTTATTTTTCTGCCTGTGAATAACTTTTTTACCAGAAATTTTCCTCGAAATTATCAAGTGTGGCACGTTTTCTGAAAGGAAATGTTCCGGTGTTTCCTAATTGCGGACTAAGTAATAAAAACCATGCGAGTTGCGAACGAAACCTAAAAAGGTGACACGAATTGCGGACACACTAATTGTGGAATTTCCATTCATTATTTTTGATATAACGATTATCGAACAATCAAAATATCAATCACGTATGCTGTACATATTTTCACAATAAAAAGTACTCGTATTATTTACAAACATTGCATTTATTTTTTCAGTTTATCATAAATTAACATTAAATGACAAAGTATGAACTGGATTTTCCAATATCAAAACCAATACGAACGTCGACTAATAACCAGTAAATTATTTTGCGCTTTATTCGTGACAGTAGGCATCACCATTTCGATCGCTCGTGACCGCAGTCGTGCCTCTGACAGTACTCGTGCAGAGATTTATACATAAGCTGAGTACATGAGGTGAATTCAATCAGTTTTCTTGTGGTCGATTCACAATGACCAAAACATTGATGTAACCGAGTAATATATTTAGCACGAAAATAGTGTTAAAAATTAGGTGATCAGATTGAGAATCGAACGCTAATTAACACCGATTCCTCCAAATTTGCACATACTGATCTAGCCAAGGAACCGTGTCAAAGCAAAAAAGAAAGAAAATCGATAACTTACCGACCGAATAAAATGACCAAGAAATTCTTTCGAGAATATAATGTACGAAGTATTTTAAATCTTCAACCTGATATCATCAATGCTAATTTTTTAAAACGTAAGGTAATCCCGGGAAGAATTTATAAGGTATAGGGCAATTCAATATAAATTATGTGTTAAAAAATAATTATCATCTTATTTCATAATAAAAATTTCAAAAAACTGCTACCCGGACAATTTTAGGTTATAAATCTATGGTTAATAGATAAAAATAACTTAGAAAAAAATTATGTATCCATATTTGGTGACTTAAATAAGGATTGCTATTAAAAAAAAAGGTAATTTTGATTGGAAATTCGAGTACTGAAAGGATTAAAAAACTGAAAATTATTTCAGTGTGTAGTTAGGTACTCCTCTTCACCCCCTGAAAATCCTATTTTAATTTATAGTTACTAAACTGCGATATTTATTTTCTGACTACATATTAGACGGGACAAACTGTATACCCGAACCTAAAATCAAAAAATATAAAAACAAATTAATTTCAAATACCCTACGAATAGGGGTAACACAACCGCGATCAGAAAATGTAGACTAACAAATTCTGTGGAAAAAAAGTTGAGGATGGGAGGATCATTACATATTATAATGAACAAACTCAATTAACAATATACGTTCCCGAACAACCTAACACCAAAGTCGAAAAATACTAATTATTTTACATACCCCCATGAGCGGGCTAATGAAACGACGATTGAAGGCATACATAAACTTATGACGATAATAAATCCACAATGAATATCATTATGTTAATTATCCGGACTACGATATTATTGGTCTAAGTGGCTTGACGTGGTGCATTTTTCACGAAACGATTATAACGCACCAGCAGCCATACAACGGAACCGTACACGAATTCCGTGCCGTTGTTTTCGATCGGTGCGAAGCACCATACGAAAAATGCCATTTGTAACAAATAATAAAACGGCTTAATCGCATTCAAAAATGCGCTTACTGGACTTTCCATAATCAAAATCATTGCGAAGACCGTCCAATAAACCAGCCATTTGGTTTTCGCGGTTACATTATTGTCCTTTCCGGTCATCGCGGTCGTCCGCGGCCTCAGTTCTCTCGCGATCATAGCGTACGCCGGATAC